AGGGACCATTGCAAATCATGGGACTTCTTGTGTTGGACGTCTTGAAGTGCTTTTTTTACTGCTCAAAATGCTTAGGTGTGAACCAGGCCTTATACTCACCAGAAGCACGATCCCGGCTTGCTTTTAGACCATTCGCTGAAGCCTGGGTCCCCCTCCATTCCGGCGGTCTAAGGTCCTGTAAGCCATCACATCCAATACAGTGTATAGGATGTGAGGATGCCAAGAGACATTCCATCGCTGGAGCAGAGGAGACGAGCTGGAAGGACATGTCTGACAGGTCTGAGGTTTAGGTGAGTATAATTTAGTTATTTTAGTCCCTAGACCAAAACGAGCAGTTAACCCTTGCAATGAGGGGGTAGTCGCACTGCAAGAATTAGGAATATTTATGCTTTCTTCTTAAATCTGTGTTTAATAATAAGCATATTAGACATGTGCACCAGCAAAAAGTTAGGGGTCTATTCACAAAGCTGCCGAGGGCAGCCGAGTGAATGACCGATCAGAAGTGAAGTGAGCCGAACACTGTTCGGCTATTCACTTCAGGCTGGTACGGCTGATTTACGATTTGGATTTTGCCTTATTTTGTTTTTCGGAATTCGGGTCTGAAAGTCAATTAGTTTCGGGATTCGGATTCGGACAAAATTCGTTAGCAGTAATCTGTACGAATTTTCATTTCTGATTCGTTTTGTTTTCGTTTCGTTCGTTCGTTGCGGCAAAGTGGCATTTAAGAGGGAAAAGAATGTATTTTTTTCTCAAATGTCACTTTGCTGCAACGAAATTTCTGAAATTTCGTCTGAATTTGGATTTTGGAACGAAACGAATCGCACATGTCTAAAGAATATCAATGTTTTAAATACAGGGACTAAAAAGTCATGTAATTATCCTTTAGCTAATTATATTTTTTTCATTAAGTATATCAAACCAATTATTTTTTATTCTTAATTTTCGATAGCTTGGGGGAGGGTTAAAACTCCTGCTGGGTTTTTACTGCTGTCCCAGGCTCCATTAAATAGATTTCCCCTTACTTCCTGTCCTGCTTGTGTTTTGACAGACAGGAAGTAAGGCAAACTCTCCACCAGCAATACAGACAGAAATAAAAAAAGCTTTTCTTTGGTAGAGTATGGGAAGGATACAACCCATTTAATTTTATTTCTGTGTGCCTGTTGCAGATATTTCTTCACTTCCTGTCTGGTGAAACCGTTGTTAGCAGAACAGTAAATGAGGGTGAAGCACTTTAACAATGCCCCTGATAGCAGTAAAAACCTGACGGGATTTATAATACTCCTTCACTCTATCTAGAACTTATAGGAAACATTTTGGCTTAGCATTTGTTTCTATCTATCGATCACAGCCATGTGATGTGCAGATTGTGACCCCGTTGTGCTGTTAGATCCTGACCAAGCAAATCAACTACCCGGGGCCCAACTGCCCAGTCTCTGAATACCTGTCCTAGCAACATGATGCCGCTTCACCCATGCCACACAATGTCACTCCCCACCAGCTCTCCCAATGGCTGGCGGCTCTCAGCCCAGGGATCTCATTGACTTGTAGCTCCCAGCCCAGGGATTTGACACCCCTGGGCTGTGACACATACTAATGACCTTTGAACTATGAGTTACATACTACTGACTTCTGAAATCTCCATTACTTACTATTGACTCCTGCACTTTGTGTTACTTAATCCTGACCCCTGCACTGTGCATTTCATATTACTTACCCCTGAACTCTGTATTACTTACTGACTCCTGCACTCTGCATTACTTACAACTGACCTCTAAAAGCTGTTACATACTACTGACCTCTGAACTCTGCGCTGCTTACTGCTAACCCTTGAACTTAGTGTTCCATTTCTACCAGGGACAGTGGCGTAGTGATTAGCACTTCTGCCTTGCAGCACTGAGGGTCTGTGGTTCAAATCCTGGTCAGGATGCTATCTGCTTGCGTGAGTTTGCTCCGGGTACTCTGGTTTCCTCTCAAACTCCAATTACATACTGGAAGATTAATTGGCTCCTTTCTAATTCGGTCCTGTATGTATGTGAGGTAGGGACCATTGAATGTAAGCTCCTTGAGGGCAGGGACTGATGTGAATGTGCAACTATGTAAACACTGCTTAAAATTGTCGGCGCTATATAAATACCTGTAATAAAAAAAATGAAAACCTACTACTGACCCCTGAACTCTTCAAACCTTCCTTATGGGGCCTTACTAGGTTTTATTCTTTAAAAAAAGTGCTCTTGTTAATGATCTTGACTGATGATCTTTGATCTCTTCCATGCTGTTCAGGTAAATCTCCACCTGTGCAAGATTGCTTATCCCTGATTTAAACTGTAAGGAGACTTATGTTGGGGGAAGCCTGGCCTATAGAGCCATATATTGCCACAACCAGAATGCTTCACACGATGGGATAGGCTGCTCTCATCATACACTGCTAGAAAGAAGAAAAAACCCTGGGCGGGTTGATTGTGTCTACCAAATTTTTACATTTAATGAACCTTAAATACATAATACCATAAGTACTTTTATGTTATATTCTTTATCATGAATGGAGTAAAGGTTTAAGTCATCTGAAGGAGTAAAACACATTTATATATGAATTAGCTCCCAATATAAGGATTGCTGGGCTAGCCTGAGGTTTAATGGAATGATTTGGCTGGCAGTATGTGCTCAGGAAACTGCACATTTGTTAGTTATGTTAGACCTTTTTGTTCTGGTGTGTGTGTGCAATTATTCAAATTAAGCTGAACAAAAATGTTCAAACTGAAAGGAAATTAGAGAAAATAAACTTCCCTTTAACAATACCTAATTACAAATATTGCTAATTGTTGTTTACTGCAGTGGAAGAATCGTGCACACAGCCAAGTGCATTAATAGGCTTTTAGCATGTGCTTGGAGCATTGCTTACTTATCAGCATGATCACCAACAGGCCATGTGTTTTCTTCCAGCTTTGTGTAAATACAACATCTACATGGTTAAAGTCACCAGTACAGGGGGCTATACAATGCCATTCACAATACTATATAGTGCTTCCTTGTGGATTAGAGAATATGAAACAGGTTTTCACCAAGGTTATCATTCACAGTCAGGCACATCTAATGGCAACATTTTTTTTGGTTAGTTTTTGATGAGGTAGGAAAGCTCCTCAGGTGTTTTATTTTTTAATTGTTTTGTAAGGGGAATTTATTTCATATCCAATAGACACAACAAGAAGTGAAATGAAATATTTGACAGCTGTCACTGGAACTAGTGCCTCCATTCGAACATTTCCCTCTTTGACAGTCACTTGAAAGTGCCCCCCACTTTCTGCCCTGATGACAATGGTCACTGGGACACATCGAGGAGGTAAAACTATCCAGCATGGACGCAAACAGCAACAGACAGAAGTTGTAACCCTTCCCTGCTCTATCCATGCAAACAAATGGGGTTTAGGTATACTTTTATTATTATTTATTGATAATTATAATAACTATTATTACCATGTAGGAAAAGAGGTTTGAATTAAGCTCATTCCTTCCTCTGCCTAAGCACTTAGCAATGCCCGCAGTAATATTTATATTATGACAAATGCACATCTAAATATAAAAAAAGTATACAACCCTAAATATTTTTTGGGAAAATTACAGTTCGGTGAATTTGAACGTGCTTAATATTTAAAATTACACATACAAATAATAATATTTAATGTATAGCTAATGCCAAAATCTTATTTTTAATGTAATTGTAATAACCAATTTCAATTGTTTTATATTGCCTATCCAGTCCCATTGGTGAGATTTTCCTATACTTCCTGTTCTGTAATCATGACAGAAGTGGGAGTATTTCTAATGTGTGGGAAAACCCAATGAATGCCAAGAAAAGGATTTAAAGGGTGAGTCCAAAAATCCTATTTTTTTTAATCGTTCATTGAGGAATACAGGCTTTAGAAATAATTGGAACATCTAAAACCAGTCCAACTGAGGGGTGGGAAACAGAGCAAACAAAACGCTAAAACAGACTCACTAAAAACAGAAAAAAAACTGAGGCCTGTCTGAAATTCAAGTTGCCTGAAGGACCTTACACCTAAAGCTGGCATCACATGGGGCCTGAACATCTACCTGGTAAAATACATAATCAGTGAACTACAGAGCTGAATCTATCTTAAAAAAAACAAATGAAAATTTCCAACCCAACCAATCCAACTTTTCTTCCATGCCTTTCTGATATCAGTTTAATTAATGTTTGGCCCAGCTATAATATGATTTTTGTTAAAATCCCCATACCAGATGACAGTCATCTAATGTCCATGAGTACCTTATGACTGCATGACTTGATATGACTACAAGAAAAGCCAAGCACAGACATGGATGCCCTTACCACTGAAGTGAATGGAAGACATGATTGTTTAGAATCTACAGTATACAATGGACGTAATAATTTAAGATTAGAACACATAATATCTACACTATGTATGAGCAGCCAATTTGAAAGAAGCAAGACACTGCAAAGACATGCATTGATTAAAACATAATGGAAATAACATGCAATTGTTTGAGGCTTATTTTCACACAAACAAAATTGAATTAGAATAAAAACTGAACATGCAAAAAAAATAATAATAATTATAGTAATCGGCATGCTAGCAAACACACAAGTATTTCAGAAGAAAGTATTTGCAATGAATGTATTAATGGATTTAGAACTTAGAAGAGGTGGAGGAATACACCACGAATCTCTAAATGTTGATACCATTGTAAGTTACTCATTGCAAGGGTTGATGATTTACCCTCGTCTGAAATCTTTCTGTTTTTTGTTTCATTCAGTGTAATGAGATTTCCCCAACTATGTAACTTTCAAATCTCCTTACAAAGATGAAACAAATATCAAAATTGAGAATAAAACTAACTGTATACAAAATGGAAGAGCCATTCTTATATACAGATCTACTCACACCAAGTTCAAATAAAATTAGGTCCTACACATGCTTTTTGTTGAAATGGACCCCGTTCAGTTGCTGTTGTAATCTTACCCTCATCCCTTCAAACCGTGATAATGCCCTTAATGGTCTCAAAGCTCTGAGGGTCCTAAGAGATTTAATAGGACCAAAATCGGAGAATCCCATGGCAGTAGCTATCAAGCTTATTAAAGACACCTGAATGGAGACACAAAGCAGAATCCAGGCCGTTAACACACTTTGGCCATCTCCACCTGCTTCTGATGAATAAATGAAATTATAAATAACCAAAGACCTGCAGAAGAAAAACGTTAAGCGAAAAACCGAGTGTTACAATATGAATCCTTAAGAAATAAATATTTGTGAAGCACTGTCTCTCCTTCATATTTCTGTGGATGAATTTAGATATTGAGATATCTAATATATCTTTGCTGCCATTTTCCTAGAAGAAGAAGATGTTATTTACCTGTAAAAAAAAAATGTTAGGAAACATTGATAAGACGTGATTACCCTTACCCTCATGCCTTCAAATCTGGACAAGGCTCGCAGAGGCCTCAATGCCCTCAGTGTTCTGAGAGACTTCATGGAAACCACTTGCCCTTGGCCATTCCCATAAGTTGCTATCAGACAAGCTACTGAAATCTGCATAGATTGAATGAACAAAATGGCTTATCAGATTCATGCAACTAAATGTTGTTGTCCAAATGTCCTTTCTGGTTCTTGCCAAGAAAAATCATGTTAAACAGTATTTAAAGCACATAATGTTATTTATCATTGTATATAACCAAATAAAATAATCCTGCAGATGCATACTACTTTGAATTGGACTTAATGAACACCATGGTAAAAGCTCAAGCATTTGATGATACTTTATAATGAAGTCAGAAATGCCTTGCAGAGGCAATGCAAATGTATTTAAGCACACAATAAACAATAATTAACATTATTAGTTAATTGTTTAGAGCTGAAATTGTAAGCTGTTTTAAAGGCGTTCTTTGGCTGAAGCTTAGTTAGTTAGAGGACTTTTTTTTTATAGTAATACAAAGCGCTTTAGTTGAATAATGCTATAACTAAATGGTAATGCTATGCTGAATGGTATACACTACTCATAAGGGGCAGTAAAGACACAATCTAAAATGGTGCCTTCTCTTCTTAGCAAAATAAAGGAACTTCAAAGGGATACGGAGGGGTCCATATCATGGACATTCCCTTTTACAGTACTGTTTATGAACTGAAATGGTAAAGACTTCAAGCGTATAGCTTTAGAAAAGGAGATTTGATAGAGTTTGTAGAGGCTTCTAAAGCCACTTGGTGGGCTTATACTGTTTGGTGTATGTGTTTGGAAGGAGACTGCTGCATACAGGAAATTCTCAAGAATAGTAAGAAGAGAAGAGGAATCCTGACAAGAGCCTTAGAGAGTATTCAGGATGACAGCTGCGATATCTTCCTGTGGCCAAATCATACTCCATAGCAGTGGTGGCATACTCTCCAAATAAGAGGCCCACAGGTTCAGGAGAAAGCACAGAAGCCCCATAATAATTGTGGGTGCTCTACTAGGCATTCTTTAATATCTAGTGCCACGTGTGAAACAAGGAATGAGGACTATAAAGAACATAAAAACCGCACATCGAAATATGTGACTAAAAAAGAAAAAAACAAGATATATAGAAAACCAAACTCCACCATGTCATATCTATTGGTTTTTATAAAGCATTATAGCATAATTAAAACCATTTAAAACAATGCAGACAATGTCGGCATGAAACATTTTATCAATAAGCAGCTATGCTACACAATCTGAAAGTTTAAGTTCATCGTTTTACAAACGTCTCCTTAGCCCCTTCCCCTAGCTCTCTTAATACATGTGCCGCCCACCCCCGTTTCTCCATAGGACCAAACTTACATCCCATATCAGCTGCGGCCTCCCACACATTCTACAGCCCAACTGGTGTATAAATCAAGCGCAGGTCTGTCTGCGCCTACGCACTAGAATCGCATAGACTTGAATGGCACAAATCCCTATACTGCAGGAACAACGTCCTAATCAAGTCTATTGGATGTTAGTGCACATGCTGGGATGGGGAGTTGGAGGACATTTCGTAAACAGGTACATTTGCAACTTTAAGCTTGAACAATATCCAATAAACACAGGAACACCAATATCTGTTAAAATGCAGCTTTTACTAAATATTTTACTTCATGTATTAGCATCTTAGTTCTTCACAGACTGTTTTACAGATGCTCATTATTTCATGCAAAATGTGGAACTATCTAAAAGAAGTTTTGAAATTGCATTAATGCTAATCTATGAAGGGAACATTTCTAATAAATACTTAATAAAAGCAAAAACACAAAAAATAATATATAAAGCTTAGAATGCAGCTTAGAAACAATATATATATATATATACACTGTATATACTTTATTCCTTGAAGTCACTTAGGAAACATTGTGAGGTTTTTGGCATTATCACTCCTTCCCATAATAATTTGTCCTGTTATGTTATTATGATAATCAGAGACTTTGCAGCACCTGTTCCTGCTTCTGTCAACCCCTTAAATCACCCAGCCCGCATTACGTTACCACACACCCTGAGATTTATTGCACTTACTTGAGAGCAATGAAAAGTTATGATCGACTTTGCAACTGCGTATGTCTCTGTTGTAGCAAAACAAATGACTTTCCAAAAGAAATACTTAGGAAGACATCGATTCCATGAAATTGTATTATACTTAAAGTGGACCTTACATTAGATATATTTTTTATTTATATAATTATTTATTATCTGTCATAGATATCATGGTTGTGTCCCTGGCAATGCCTTCACCTGCTGTTCCTATTAGGACAGAGCCATCTGTGCTGACCTATTATCCAGGTTCAGTATCCATTTCACAGACTAAGATTCTGACTCTGAGATATGACAATCAGATAAATCCTGGTGCCTGTGCAGTTCATGGCTGTGTTTACAAATATCGGACACAGAGCAACCCCCTGCTGCAACTTCCTACCTCTTTGAAGTGCTACAGAGTTAAGGTGCCCATACGCCTTACAATTATCGTTCGAAAAACGAATGCGATCTGTTTTTCGTACGATAATCAGCCAGTTGATGGGAAGTGCACAATCGCAATTACTGTACAACTGGTCAAATTTGGTTGAACTGGAAGACTAGAAAACTTTCGTAGAGACGGACGAAAATCGATGGATTAGTTGTGTTTTCGTACAAGAAAAAATCGCAACATGAACACTGCACGTGCGCAAACGAAAAACTGTTCTGTCAGCCAGTTAGTATATATATATATATATATATATATATATATATGTAGAGCATTGTAGCACAAAATACAAATCTTCACTTATTTATGGAACAGAGAAAATGAAGCTCTTTTGCAAAAAAATATTAGAGAGATTTTATAAGAGCCCTATTCCTCCCTGACACAGGCTTAGGAAATCATGGTGCTAATCCCTGTTGATCCCAAGATTTGGGAATGTAAATCCCACCTGTTGAACCCACTCAACCAGCAAAAGAAACTTAAGATAAATGATTTCCCAGCTGCTAAACTAGGTGACAAATTGCAAGATGTTTGCTACGAAAGCTTATTCCTGACACTACAATAGACTACACCTGCTCACCAAATGACAGTTACTTTCCAACCCCTCAATAGAATATGCAAATTTATTTTTACATAGGTGAGGCAGAGTTAGAATGTCTTATTTATAAAGAGAATGCTCATTATTATTATTATTACTATAACTATTATTTATATATACAGTAGAGTTCAACTTTAAGGCATTTAGATATATGTGATAAAGAAAAACTGTACCTATTCAGGGACAGGAGAGACCAGGGGCTAACAAAATCCCTGGCACATGTAACACAGAATATCATTAAAATGTCTACTATGAAGGAAATATCACTAATGAAATGAGGAGATCACAGGTCATTCATCCACAGGGCACCTAACACTCATTCACATGAATGCTTCTACTTTTTTCTTGTTAATTCCAGTATGATGGGATTCTCAGTGGTATTTCAAATTACCCATCAACAATTCTCACAGAAAAAAAGTGATAGTGGTGGTCTAATGTCTGGCACAAAAAAAAGGAATTAACCTAAGATTATTAAAAATATGCCAATCCACCTATAGCACCAACCTGATCCATATATAGAATTAACATAGACACTACTTGTTAAGCAATGACTGCAAGTAGCAGGGATGTGATATCGCATATCCTGTACTATACCTTATAACAACCAATTAGAGATCTGATTTGGCAGTGTAGCATACCCTCAGCAGTCTCCTCCCAGAGACTGCCTCCTATCTGTGCTGTACCTGTCCTACACTACAAGATGCCCTCAGTCTTCTGGGTTAAAGGAGCTCTAACGTCACAGCATAAACTATCCTGTTTAACATCAGCATTGTATTAGGAATATATACTAGAATTGTTTTTGATAATGCAATCAAAGCTTACTTAAACAAATCCCTTCTTTGTAGTGAGTGCTGCCTTCCGTCTGCCCATCACTTTCATCAACTTCCTGGATGCCCAGTGTACATTTAATTTCCTTGCTGCTTGATGTGATGCAACCTTGATTTCTCAAGACTACAAATCTCATCATGCACTGCTTCCATCAAGCAATTATGATGTTACACTGTTCAGACATTAACAGGGTTATTCACAAAAGGGTGAAGAGTTTGGAGAACACAGGAGAAGTGAACAATCTAGGACAGCATAGCTGATTTGGACAAAATATCCAATTCAGCTCACTTTCCAGTTCAGCTATGTTGTCCTAGATTGTTCACTTCTCCTTATTTCCCCAAACTCTTCACCCTTTTGTGAATAACCCTGTAAGTTGTAAGTTCAGAAGGCCGACTCTGTGAGAGTTGTTACACAAGGAAGTCCATATTCGCAGGGCTGCGTGAAATTATGTCACTGTATTGAGGATGTACATCCTACGGGCAGCTTTAAAAAGTAAGTTTACAAGCTTCTATATTGATATGGTTATTAGGAGTGGGATAGAACCTAGAACCATGGAAATTCCGTAAGAAATATATATTTATTTATTTTACCACAGTAACCCTTTAAATGACACCCATTATCATTCAACCCAAAAGTCTGAAGACAAATTGTGAGTGCAGGGTGTCATGGACTTTCCTCTAAGGGGCTGTCACCAGGGCGCCCTGTACTCACAGTGTTTTGAT